GTGGTTGTGAGCCTTGTCATCCGCTCTGTAAGAAGAGGTGGGATAATCTCCTGGTTATTTCTGATCTGCTGTAATGCTCTTCCTCTCTCCTCAATAGATGCCGCCTCCCTATGAGCACGCTCTGAGGCATCCTCCAGCTTTCTCAGGAACAGGAATAAGCTCAGAGACCTTGGACAGATGTGGTGTTCCAGACCCTTTCCATGCCCCTCTCAGCTACCAAACTCAGAGAAACACGGCAGTGTAAGGCCTCGGCCTCAGCCTGCTGCTGCTTCCCGTGCTGTCAGCGACAGAAGTGCCTGGGACACTGTTCCCCTCCACAGGAACTGCCAAACCTTCACCCAGATCCACAATCAGCCAGACCCAGGCAGCACTGCCATCCCTCCTGCAGCACAGGGACAACCACAGAGCCATTGCCAGGCAGCAGAGCAGCCAGGGACATCTGCTTGCTCTTCTCTGGCAAACACTGTTACCAAAGGAGATGGACCAGCTGCTGGAGCTGCAAGGGGCAGAGCCAAGGGGAAGGTCTGCTCGGCCACAGCTCCTCAGGAGCAGCACGTTGTACCTCAGTGAGGCAGCACTGCTGGCCGTACGAAGGATCAGACCTCAGGCACTCCTGGTGTCAGTGCTACTTCACTCTTTTGTAGGTTACCAAGTGTTTTACTGTGTCCCTGTACTGGCTGCCGGGGGGGTGGGGATCCCCACCGTGAGTGATCTGCAGTGGAGCATCGCTGTGTGCTCTGGCAGCAACGAGCCCGTCACTGACAGCAGGTTTGTACAGACCTCAGACACGGATTTGGAGAGGCTCAGGGTTGTGTCACCTGCTGTGTGCAAACACCGACCACTGAGATGAACCACGGGATTGGATCTGCAGTGGGGGGAAGGACAGACGTGTGGACACAACAGCTGCTGGTCTCCATGAAGAATGTGAAACACAAGTGGACATGTGTGGCTGACTCAGTTCACCTGGTCTTCTGCAGAGCAGAAGAACTGTCTAATAATGTCAACACCGGTGTCCTTACACCACCAATTTTGATAACCTGTTTTCTACTGCAGAGTCAATGTTTCAAATTGTTTACCAACCTGTAGATAAAATGAGATCAGTTTGGCCACAAGGCATTTGGGCTCCTTTCTTTCGAGCAATATAAGCTCAAAAATATCATGTAATGACTCAAAGATAAAAGGATAAATCTCCTGGATTATGGCTTTATGATACACCTCCAGCTACTGAGCTTCAAATGCCACCCCAGACTTTGGTATCTTACCAGGCCCCAGAACTTAGTCATGAGTTAGAGTTATGCCTGTGAATTTGCCTCACATGGCCAGTGAATGGAACATTCAGGTATTTGAGTTAATCATTGAGTTGAGTTAGATAGAATCAAAAATCCAGCTTCCTGGAACACAGTGTTAGGTGCACGTGGAAAAGGATCTGTTCTGCAGTGTTGTGAATGAGAACAGTAGTGACGAAAAATGAGGGAATTATTAGTGGGACATAGGAGTGATTGTAGAGGGAACCATCCAGTGGCACAATGGAACAGCTTGTCCAGATACTAAATGAACACAATAACACATTCTGTGATCAGCCAAGACCTTCACCCAGTGCCCCACTGCATTTATTAAACACTCTTACAAATGCCAGGAGGTGATTGATCCCAGTGCCTGAACACTGACCACCCAGCTTTAGGAGCAAAACCAAGTCCTAAACTGGTATCTCCAGAGCTAGAATACTCTCATCCTCAGATGCCAGTCCAGCTGTAGTGGTCTGTCCTTCCCATCCGCGCCTGCGTGACGCAGGAGGCTCAGAGCATGGTGACCAGTTTGAAGCTTCCTACCTCTGTGTTGGGGATGACACTGATGAAGGTTTTATAAAGGATTGCTCCTTTGGGCAGGCGGCAGATCACATCCCTGCTCTCGCTGCTGCGGGGCGGGGGCACATAGACCTCCTTGGTGTATCTCACAATCCCATCCTCCAGGGCATACAGTGTGTTGTTACGGCCCATCCCCACCTGGGAGAGGATGAGGAGCGTTAGAAAGGAAGGGCTGGAAGCCTGCAGCTAAAGCAGATCTGATCACTGGCCTGCCTCGTTTGATATCCTGGCTTCAACAGCATCTGTTGCTTTGTATTTTGAAATAAAAGAAAGCCACACAACTTGCTTCCAAGCAATCAGTTTGCAATGGTGCTCAGTACGAGGGAGGAGACATCCATTCCACCCTGAAGCACGAGTGCCCAGTCAGGCCACAGAAGTGTTTTGGGATATCCATAACTTGCAGAGCTCCCCTGAGTCCCACGGACACAGGGGTGGCTCTGAGCAGGCTCTGTGACCAACAAATACCAGGTGATGAAGCCCCGATGTCAGGACATATAGAACAGAGGGATAAGCATTAAGAATGAGACTGAAGGAGAGGAGGCAATGGGTGTGGGACTCTGGGTGGGCTGCTGTTCTCTGAGAAACAGGGAAGAGAGAGCAAAGGCCTTACGTGAGCGCCAGGATGCCAGCGGATCAACCGCTGCGTAGCCAAAATGTTGCCTGCGTGGACAAAGGCACCTGCAAGAGAGTGACAGGGTCAGACTCCAGGGAAACAGCTCCCCAAAGCCCTGGCAGAACACAAGTTGTTCCAGGAATTACAAATCACAGCTTTCTCTGGGCATTTTCCTCGGAAAAATTACTTTAAATGCTAAAAGCATCTGAACAAATATGCTGTTAGCAGGAAATAAGGGGCAACTGATAGAGAGCATGGCAAAAAGTCAAGTGTGAAAAGATTGCTTCTGAGGTACAAGGCATTTTCTGGTTGCTGAAGGCATTTGTTTTATTACCTTTACATCGATATGTTTCCATCAGCAAAGCTAATAATTACTGAGCACTCAGCTGCAAGAATCTGCACTTTGGCTTCTGCTAAGCCTCGTAATTCTCTCCTTTGTAAACATGGGAAATACTCAGTTTTTCCACCCAGCGTGGGGGGAAAGTGCAGTGCAGTTATGAGGTGTCCCACAGTGTTCCCTCCCTCCGGGTGCTCCAGAGAGGCAAAGGATAAACCAAAGTACATTTTCTGTAGGCAATTTTGGCTGGTGGCTGTCGGGGCTCCCGGGGTGGGAGGCTGACTCACCCCGCCCTCCCACCTGCGACCCTAGATCACAAGGCTTCACTGATCCTCCCCTTTCCTTTCTCCTGGAAAATGCCCTGCCCACCTCCTCCTGAAACACTCTACAAGTGACTAGTACTAGGGGAGAAGCTGTGAAGAACACAGTGAAATGCAAATAAGACCCAGCAGGTGCTCAGACCTACCTTCTACTTTTTTGAATCCGTAGCGTTTCCCAGGGCTGCGGCCACCCAAGTTTTTGGAGCTGCCTCCGCTTTTCTTAGAAGCCCATCTGACAGCAACCAGGCTTGTTTGGGGAGTGGTTAGAACTAGGTTTGGAGAAAGAACCACAGCATCAGCTGGAAAAACTATTACACGTAATTTCATTTGTCAGATGTAAAGGGTATCAGTTAATACAGGCTTTAAAACTAAAGGCAAATGAAAGCCCTACTGGGAAAAAAAAGTACTTCCAAGATAAATTATACCACGATGGCCTTAGTCCTCTGCAAAGAGGACACACCTCAAGAGCTGCTGCTACCCAATGATGACGTTAAAGGACATGCACGAATTCCTGTTTCATTCTTGCAAAATGCAGTACAGATGTCCCTTAATTGCTTACATTGCTCATACATTGCTTTGAGAAAACGCAAGTAGACAAGCTGTGATCTCTGCTTCAGTTTCCCCTCTGACCAAATGGCATTTACTCAGTTATATTCTGAAATCTTACAAATAAGCAGACTGCAATTTGGAACAATATGTAAGCGTATAATCAGTGATGCATCCAGGAGCAGTTTGAGTATCCAAAATGAGTAGAAAGGTTGGACTTTATGATTTTGGAGGTCTTTCCCAACCTTAATGATTCTGTGATTTTATGATTAATGACTTCAAGAAGGATTACAGAGCCCTGGGAATGGCAATAAGGGACTCTGGAGCACAGAGCTGGGGGTGTTCAGCCTAGAGAAGAGAAAGCCCCAGGGAGGGCTTAGAGTGCCTAAAGGGGCTTCAAAGGAGCTGGAGAGGGACATGGGAAAAGGGATGGAGTGACAGGATAAGGGGGAATGGCTTCAAACTGACAGAGGGGAGGGTTAGGTTAAATATTGGGAAGAAATTCTCTGCTGTGAGGGCGGTGAGGCCCTGGAACAGGCTGTCCAGAGAAACTGTGGCTGCCTCATCCCTAGAAGTATCCAAGGCCAGGTTGGATGGGGCTTTGGAGCAACCTGGGATAATGGAAGGTGTTCCTGCCCATGGCAGGGGGCTGGAACAAGACGATCTTTAAGGCCTCTTCCAACCCAAACCTGCCCGTGGTTCCATGTCGAGAAAAGGCTAATTGCTCTACAAAACCCCACTAAATTCAGGAGACGACCCACTGAGTGAACGAAAGCCTCCGGCACGTGAGAACTCCAGGCAATCAAGTCACAGAGCGAACCGCAGTCAGACTTTCACTTACACAAACCCGCCCACTCCAGCGGGGGCTCCGCCTCAGCCCCGCAGGGCGAAACGCGAAACTCCTGATCCCCCACCCCGAGCTCCCCAGGGAGGGGGAGACGCGACCTCCCGCGGTGGCACCGGAGAGGGGGACGTGGCGGGGGCGCACCCCTCAACCCTTCTCGAGCTCACCCTCCCGCTCCCCACTCCCCTCAGAGGGCGAAGCCGCCCCCTCACTCACAGAGCCGCCCCAGCGCCGCCATCTTGTTCCCTTCCTCTCCCCCCCCCTCCCTCCTCACGCTGGGATGGCCCGGAGGCGCGCGAGGCTGGCGGCGATTGGCCCGAACGCGCGCGGCCGCGCGCGTTCGGGCCAATCGCCGCCAGCCTCGCGCGCCTCCGGGCCAATCAGCGCCCAGCGCGGGCTTTCCCCCCCACCACCACCTCAGGGGTAGTCGGGGGGGGGGGGGGGGGGGTGTCTCTTCCTGAGGGGAAGGGCGGCCATGGCGGAGCCGCGCTCCGAGAGCTGCAGCGAGGACGAGCTGCCCAGCCTGTCCTCCCTGCTGCAGGCCCCCGAGCCGAGCCGACCGCGGCCCCCGCCTGCCGACCGCGGAGTCGTGCTGGTGAGCAGCGAGGAGGAGGAGGAGGAGGACCCGGAGCCGCCTGGAGGAGGGTGTTGTGGTGGTGAAAACGCCATATGCGATGCTGAGGGACCCGCGCTGCCGGTCGGCTCGGACAAGCCCAGTAGCCCCCTGGCAAGCACAGAAGCGTCCCTCCCTCCCGAGAAGCGGCGGTATAGTCAGAGGGAAAGGGAGGCAGTCTGCCGGGCTGCATGGGAGAGGAGGAAGGAGCGAGAGGCAAAGAGGAGGCTGCAGGAGGAGGAGAAAGAGAGCAGGAGAGCCCTGGCCAAGGCGCTGAAAGCTCAGCGGCCAGGAGAGTGCCAGAAGTACATAACAGTGGTGCTGGATCCAGGTAGCTGTCCTGACAGCCTGCACCTGCTTTGCACTGACTGTTTGTCTCCTCTCTGGAGGCCTGACCCGTGTGCCGATTTCAGCCCTCTTCCAGGTAGAAGGTGGTGAGCAGATCCTTAGAGCTTTGGAGGCTGCCAATTATTCCTGTGTGGTTGAGAACCAGGCTGTTCCCTGCAGTATCACCTGGAGGAGAGAGACTGTGTCGCCTCAGGTGTGCAAGCAAAATCTTGATGTTTTTGCCTTTTTCTCCGTCTGTTATTTGCACTCGCTCGTCATTGTATTTAGCAACAGAAACACCCCCTAAACTCCCTGCTCAGAGCTCTGAGTGGGAGTCTGAGTGAATTCTAAACAGACTGTTGGCCTGACTGTTTGTTTTCATATCTGAACAGATGGGAGGAGGAGATGAATGGACAGAAGAACCAAATGTCCTGGTTCTGCTTGGCTTGGGGGAGTTTTTGTCCATGGCTCAGAGCTACAAACAAGTGAGAGTGCTTATGACTTTTGTCCTCCTGTACATGCCTTGATGCAAAACTGGTGTTCTGTCATCCCTTTTTGTGGCAGGAATGTTTCAGTGTGGGACGAAACCTTACGTGTGGGATGAATGCAGGGTTTCAGTAAAACAGAAATCTGGGGTTTAGCGCCATTAATGGATCAAAACCACTGGGTTGTATAATGTAGAGTTCTGACAAACTTTTCTAGTTAAAAATTTTAATATGTCCCTAAGAGGTAACATTGTTCCATCGTGTGGTTTTATTTTTTTTTATTTCTTTCTGCTATAACTGTACACAGGGTCAGGTGTTGCCTGCTTGCCCTGAAGGGCAAGTGTGAACAGCCTCATCTGCAAACCCAGCACCAGAGCCATAGTTTGCTGTGCTTCCATGTGTACCTCGGAATGGTTTAACCCCTTTTTTTCCCCATTCGTATTTGCAGAATGCTGACAGCTGTACAGAAAAGCAGAAGATGAGCCTGCAGAGCTATGTAGCTCATGTGATGAAGAAACTACCTGGAAAAACTCTGGCTCTGGCAGTAGTCGGAGTAGAAAATTATTTCAGGTCAAACTTCTTTCCCTCCAAACATTTCTATTTTTTTCTCTGGCCTTGAAAAAATAACATAGGTGTTTACATGAATTCCTACTAGCAAAGACTGGAGTATAAGTGGTGTTCCCACTCAGAAGTGCTCTGCTGTCATACAGGAACAGAAGAAAAGGCCCATCCAGCCTCTCACCCTGGTGTTACTTTACTTTTTTTAGGTCCCTCAGAGTTCAGTCAAAACAGAGACTGCAACAGGCAGCAGGGCATGGGAACCAAGAGGAACAGAGAAAAGGGAGAAAAAAGAAAATTAAGGATTCTGGCCTGGAGTTAACCAGAATGGACATGGAAGAAGTGAGTACCTTTTAAAACAGAAACGCATCCATCATCTGTTGTCTGTCAGTGTTTGAACATTTGACCTCGTCACCATTTCTTGGATGGGAGGATGCAGCTGGCAAAGCCCATCCGTGGTGGCCTGTGTGTATCAAGAGTGTGGCAGCTCAGAGGACACTGAACTGACTAAATACTTCAGTGGTGTAAATCAACTGTTCCCAAAATGGGGAGAGAGCAGCTGTTCTTGTTCTACAGCGAGATCTTTGCGACCCTTTTCTGTTTCAGACGAAAGTGGGGTTTGATGTGACAAGGCTGATTGTCTCCTTTGTTGTTTCCAATGGTGATACAGGCCCTGGTGGATCTGCAGCTGAGCACACAAGTCCAGGTTAGCTGTTTTGAGAGCTGTGAGGAGCTGGGGGAATATGCCACTATGATCACAAAAGCTGTGGCTGAGGCACCATTCAAGTGAGTAAGCAGAGGAAGTTTGGTCCTTCTTTTGGAGAGGCTGCACTTTCAGTTACTGGGAGGGAATAGCAGGTACAACACAGTGTATAATGGTTTTTAAAGGATCAGGCGACATAGAGCAGCTGCTAATGCAGCTCCCTCAACACAGGACTTGTTCTTGAAACTGATGTCCTGCCCTTGGAGAGGTGAGGACAGACCCTGATTTCACAGAATCACAGATTGGTTTGGGTTGGAAGGGACCTTATAGATCATCCCAGTCTAACCCACTGCTGTGGGCAGAGACACATCCCACTAGATCAGGTTGCTCAGAGCTCCATCCAGCCTGGCCTTGAATGTTTCCAGGGATGGGATGTCCACAGCTTCTCTGGGCAACTTGCTTTAGTGCTTCAGCACCCTCAAGTTTCACACTGGAGTCTTGGCATCTTGTTCTCAGGCAGATTTTTGGAGTGAGAAGGGAATGCAAGTAGGGCTGAGCTCTTACAGCACCAGCTTTTCTTCTACAGTGCATAACCAAGACAGATGTGCCTGAGAATGAACCACTTTGCTGTTTCTGTTAAGGAAGGACAGCAGTGTGTAACACAGCAATGGCTCAGAAATCCGTCTTGTGTAGTCTCACACAATCCTGGCATTCTTTTCACAGGAGCTGCTGGATTTTCCATGTCAGCCATGGGAGGAGACGAGATGTTGTTAAAAATTACATGTAAAAGTGTTATGGTTGACAGCCAGAGAGTGAATTCTTGTTTACCATTTTTTCTGTGTGTTGGCTTGCGCCAGGGTTGCTTTTTTTTTTTAATGTAGCAATCTGAGACTTAAAGAAATTGGTAATGAACATAAAGCAAGTAGGGTCAAATGGTCAACATTTCTTTTGATGCCAGCAGTCTTTCTAACAGCACAAGTGAGGGACTGTGCTCGGGCTCTGTGACTACAGGGACAGGATTTTCTTCATTGTCTCATTTGCTTCCTCATTCCTTGTTCTCCCCAGGCGAGATCGAGAGGATACGGGGTTCTCTTTCTACTTGGAGAAGCGCTGGTGTGGAGGGGTGAAGGTGGATCCTTCTGGAAAGGGTCTCTTGAAAGTTTGGACCAGGCAGATAGAGCAGTTTAACCGTGTCAGCCCTGCGATGGCTGAGGCTATCGTGTCTGCCTACCCTTCTCCTCAGCTTCTGATCCAGGTGAGGATGCCTTGGGAATACCTGGCACTGTGTGTAGGCAGCCAGCTGATGTAAGGGGTGGAAGAAATTGTTTAATCAGAAATTAAATTAAGTACAGCGATTCTGTATGAGCAGTCCACTAAGGTAGTGAAGGAACTGATTCCTTGGCATCCACTGCTTTGGTTCCCAGAGCAGACCACCAAGGGAGAAGCATTGGTTCTGCTCTGCAAGGTCACGGATGGGACCGGGGAGGGACCAGGTGGAAAACCGAGCGGACATTGTGGAAGGGCAGAGCAGTAACAGGTGCATGGATTTGATTGGTTTTTTGAGCCGTGGGTGACAGCGTTGTTCCTCTGTATCGCTTTTAGGCCTATAGAAAATGCTCCTCGGACCAGGAGCGGGAGAACATGCTGGCCAATATCCCAGTGCACCGTGGTGAGGGTGTGACAGCCACCTCCCGGCGGATAGGGCCGGAGCTGTCCCGACGCATCTATCTGCAGATGACTTCCCACAATCCTGACCTCTGTCTGGATTTCACTGGGTAGCTCCAGGGAATAAGGGTTTTTCTGTTTAACTGGTTGAACTGTTCAGTGGTTGAACTGTTCAGTGGTTGAACTGTTCAGTTTTCTTCTGTGAAGAAGTGCTTAGATAAGTCCTTGATCCTCGTTTAAAGACTTGAAGCACGTTTAGATTTTATTGTAGGAAAAAAGTTGGATAAAGTTGCTGAATGGCTGGAGTTTATACAAGGAAAATGGTGAGCATCTTCCCCAAGAGCGTGAATTACACACAGTTCGTAGTACTGATGTTCTTTGTCTTTCTATGAAATAAATAATTTTGAATAATCTTTGCTTCTTAATGGGTTGTCTTGCATATAGACAGATATGTCCTCTGTTGAAAGGAATGCTTCCTGCTGCTCTTGTGAACTGCAAGGAGTTACCTTCTGTCTTCTCTGGGACGAATCCTGATGCTAAAGCAAAATGGTGCTGCCCCCCCAGCACCCGCTCTAGCGAGGTGGAAGAACTTTACCTCACAAAAGAGACTCCGTGTTCCTCTGTGGCAGATGGAAATGAGTAAGACTAATTTTCAGACATAAATTTAGACTGCCCTGATTCAGTCTCCAGACAGCTTAATCTAGAGAGGGTCTCGAAATCTGATTATATGCATTGGAATTACGAGGTCTAAACAGTTGGCAGAAAAAGCTTCCTTTTAATTAGATTGGGGAGCAGGGCCTGTCCATGCAGCCATTAGCACTTGTGTGCACACAAGGACAGTTGAGGGCTTTTTTCACAGCAGCACTTACCGAGATGAGTGCTGAGAGAATTAAACTGCATCCGAGGTGTGGAAGGTAACTCTTTGGAACTGCGCTGCCTCCGGTGGAAAAACCCCACCTGCCATGCTCGCTCCTGGCATCCAGCAGGAGCCCTGGCCTGGCCAGCAGCGCTGCTGACCTGAATCAATAAATTGTATTAGCCCAGCATTTGCCAACCTATGCAGCACTCGCCTGGATGGCACAGCTGAGCCCTCCCAGCTGCTGGCAGGAATTGCTGCACGGGGGAAAATGTTGCTTTGGATGTTGCTTGTCGTTTTCCTGAACGCTTCTGGATAGGAAGCAAGGATCTTTTAAAGAACAGGATGAGTTAGACACCTAAAGTGAAGCTTAAAGCTGTTTGAAGGAAGCTTTGGAAACATACACCCTGCTAAGGCAGAGGCAGCACTTCCTTCCTTTTATCTGATACTTGTACTGCCGCTCCATCGTGTGTGACAGTCACGGAACCACAGCCTTATCATCAGGTTACAGAAAGGTGAAGGTTTCGGTGGTGACCTTGGTGTGAACTGCTGCAGATGATCTCCCCATGGCACTGCTCTTGGCAGTGATTATTCCAGCTGTGAGAAGAGGGAGCGACTCTGGGGAGAAGTGTAGGGTGTCTCTGGAGTCTGTAGCATGGATACTCTCTGAATCCTAACTTCATTTTAGTGCTCACAAAGCCCTTAAGGATATGAGAAACTTCTGTTCCATTTTTTTTTTATATAAGGAAAATTTAAAATTAGTTAATTTTAAATATTTTCTAGGGGAAATTATAAATGATTAATAGGACTTGGCAGAGGAGAGTTTTCTTCTAAAGGTGCAAGCCACCAAACTTCCCGGCCTTCCCCCAGCCCCAAGGCTAGTCCCCTTCCTGCCAGCAGTGCTCCCACAGTGCCACCCAGTGCTGCTACCGTGGATACAGCAGGCAGGAGTCATTCCCCTATGGACTGGCTGTTCCTAAAGGACCTAATTAAAACTAAAACCGCGTTAACAACATAAACATCCAGTTCAGGCAAATTGCTGTGAAAACTGTTGTATTGAAAATTATCAGCTCCTTTCAGTAGCACATCAGCCTCTTCGCTCCAACATACGGATGCACAGCCATCCTACACGCCTGTAATTGGTCCTGGAGTGGGCCTTAGTGTGTTATTCCCATACAGCCATATCACCAATTTTAGCACAAACAGAAATGAGAGCAAGGAATGGATGTGTATTAAAAACCTTACACCTCCAGCTCAGAGCTACAGCTACCCAGGCAAGGCGAGGGCTGGTTTTTCCCACTCCTATAGACTGGCAGCTTCCTGTACCTCACAATCCTGGTGAACACCACCACTTGGAGGTGAGAAGCGGTAACAAGTTTAGGTTTAACGTGCGCAAAAAATGGGAGTTACAGGCCAACTGCAAAACATGCACAGCAAAGATGATCTGAACAATAACTCTGCTCTGTGGAGTGGACCAGCAAACCAACGCTGACTGGTTCAAAGCAGTTTCATCAGAACACAATTCCATAGGAATTCTGGCTGCGTAGATGGTGGAAGGAGATGCTGACGAAGCAAGTGCCCGTCCGGGACAATCACTGCTGCGAGTTGTGCTGTAGCATGTTTTGCAGGGTTTTGTGGTTCTGCAGGGCAGCCACCACGTCCTCGTAGAGGGTGTTCACGCTGACGCACAGGGGCTGACGCTGCAGCTCCGTCAGCTTGCAGGCGGCCAGGGCACACAGGATGCAGAACAGCACGAAGAGCAGGACCCTCAGCACCGACCGCGACCACGAGGGCTTGTGCCGGGGGGGCTGAGGGGGACGGGAGCTGGAGGCAGGCTCTGTAATGAGAACATGGACAGGACAGAACGTGAGGAATTAATTGAGTATCTTTAACAGTCTGCATTTGGAAACTGTTCAGGCAAGATACTTCAGCCTCTGCTGCAGTTGGCTTTTGTCATGAATTTTCATTACTTAGCTCTGGTAAACAGGTAGATGTGCAGGATTTAACTGTCTGTGATGAAAAGTTTTGGATTTAGTTTCGTGGGCAGCAGTGAGGAGGGTGTAAAGCACCTCTGTGTTGCACAAGATCTGGTTTTGCACGTGTAGTTCAGTACGCTTGAAATGAGTGGAGGGAAGTTCTCATTAGGAACAGCTGGAGAACTTCTTGAATCTTGTAGCTCCACAGTTCATGGGAACACAGGCAAAGAGGAAAAGGGAACAGCAGCAAGAGTTTATCAGAATTCCTACAGGTTCCCCCCTGCTCACTCCTACCCTCTCCCAGTACCTGGGCTGCATGAAAGCAATTCTGGCAGCATCAAAGTCTGATGAAGATGAAATCTGATGCAATCCCACCCAAAACTGATACTACTTACTTCGGGTCTGCACTGTTTCTTTTTTAGTTTTCTTCTCCATCTCCTGTTTTGCAGCTTTTTGAGCATCATATTCCCGCCTTCTGCGTTCCTTCTCCTCCGCCTTCTCTCGCTTCCGCAGTTCCCTCTCTTGAGCCTCCTTTGCTCGCTGTTCTGCTTCACGCTTCTTCTCCATTTCTGGGGATTAACAGGAAGTTTTTTCCTTTTATCTAAAGGGCTGTCATTGCCATCTTCCTTATTACCTGCTTATCTGATCCCGATTGGAATGAAGAAACCAATTAAATAACTATCTTCTTTTTTATCATTTTATTTAGTATTACAAACCTTGCATTTTGCTCCATCAGAATTAGACTTTCCTTAAAGTAAATCCCATGCTTTTCTTTTGTATTTTTATAGGTAACCTGTATCACAGTCCATTTAGAGATCTAACTGTTATTCAGGCAAGAAATCACATAGTTACCTCCTGCTATGTTCCCCCCTCCAGCCCTTCTACTCTGCTACTCCCTGAATCCTCAGGATTTGGATGGCTAGAATTATTTGTTAGATGGCAATTTGCTAGATGGATTTCAGTATGTTTGGGTGTGTTTGAGAGACCAAGAGCAGTCCTCAGCAGACAGCACGTGGGGGCTCTTTGTGCCTACCTCGCTCTGCCTGGAGTTTCCGTTGCCGTTGTCGATCCTGCTCGGACTGGATCGCTTTCATGTGCTGCAGTACCTTCAAGGTCCAAGAAAACAACCTGAGGGCTTTGCAGGGGGGTCGTGGCACAGTCAGTTCAGAACAGAACGGCTGGACTGTGGCTGAGGACAGTCAGCCGGGGCTGACACCCAACCCTGACCTACCCCTCCAGGCACAACTCTGAGGAGGAAGAGCTCGCACCCTGCCGTGTGAGTCTTTGCCATTAAGAAAGAGATTTTTCCATTAAAAACAAACATGGCAAACTGGTGCTTGACGATACAGGGGATCACAGAACATTTCTATTTATGTGAGCCTATAGTTTGCCAGAACTTCTCCGGAGATTTTTGTACAATAAGCCTAGGCATGGATTATTATGTCTGATTATGCCTCTAGTTTCTTGGCAACCAGCCTTTAATCCTCTCTTAACTCCACTAATGGAGGAGAAACCCCCTCAGCCAGGTGTTTGCTCTCCACAGGCACAGCAGCAGCGGAGTCAGTGCAGTGAACCTGCCCCTCACTGCCTGAAGAAGCTGCCCAGCTTGCTAAGCAAAAAGAGGAAGAAACACCACTGACAAAGCCATGAAATTAAAAAAAAAAAAAAAAAAGAAAAAAAAGAGAATAAAAGTAGATTCCTTACCTTGACAGCAGCCTGCTTACACTGCTTCTCATCCAGACAGTCTCCTGCCACTTTAGCCAGGACAGGATCCAGGGGATTGTCCTTCAGATCCAACCACTTCAGGTTCTGCAGAAAGGCACGACAAAGGGGAGGCTGTAAGAGCACAGCAGTCTTGCAATTATTTAAGAGATCCACAACAGAAGCAAAGGACTGCTTATTTTTCAGATGAATGAAACAGGTACAGAAGACAAGCAGAGACGTTTTCAATAGACAGAGAATTTTCACCGAGCTGCGGTGCAGAGCCAGCTGAATTTTGGAATGGGTAGTCAGCAGGATGGATGCTTTACTAGAGAAATCAACTTGAGCAGGATCACAAGACCCCTGGGCTGCATCCCAAAGCTTTACATAACTGCCCAGCAAACAGTTTTACCTTGAGCTGTGCAAAGCTGACTGGCAGGGTGACTAAACGGTTGTTCAGAAGGTCCAGGTGCTGCAGATTGACCAGACGGCCAAAGTCCAAGGGCAGCTGTTGAAGCCGGTTTTTACTCAAATCCAGTTTCACCAGATGCATCAAACTGCAGAAGTCTGACTAAAACCCAAAGAAACCCAGAGAAAGCTGGTCAGCACCTTTATGGAGCAATCTCTGCGACGAGTATGTGGACACAGCCTGCACCGCACATCAGCCTCAAATTCCTAACTTACTACAGGACTGTGATGGAGGAAAACCACTCTCCTCAGAAGATGGAGGTGGGACAGATAGGACAGACCGACAAGGTGATGTATGGCAATATGACAGGAACAAAACCGAGTCTCCACTGCTGATGAAACTGGTCTGTATTCACCTGGGGATGCTCTGGCAAGAAGATACTGCAATCTTCACACAGTGCAACCCTTTCCTCTCTCTTGCCTCAGCCAAACCTACCACCAGCACTGACCCGTCACGGACAACGGAGTCATTCAGCCACTCCAGGATGGGGGAAGAAGCACCAGTTCCAAACCTCCTGGTGAGCCTCTGAAGAAGCTCTAGTTATCTTTTCCAAATATTTCCCAGCAGACTCATCCCCACAAAGGCTCTCGAGCATCTTACCGGCAAGGAAATGAGGTTGTTACAGGACAAATCCAAGACAGTAGCTTTTGGAAGAGCAGCCTGAAAGAGAAACAAAGAGCTAAATGAACGCGGAGGTTCAGCCGAGCCCCTCTGACACCCGGTAGTTATGCCTCGGCCTCTGCGGTTTCTCCCGCATCAGTCTGTCCATCCCCCGCGGCTGCTCCGAGGTCGCGTCATCTCCGGATCAGTCTCTGGGTCCAAAGGCGGTTCTTATCCCGGGATAAGCTCTGAACAGCCGCTGCCGGCCCGGCGGGACACGGCACCCCCTTCCACGTCGCTTTAAATACTCGCAGGCCAGGTCACAATCCCCGCAAAACATCTGTCTCCCCCGCGCCTCCCCTTCCCGGGGACCGCGCCGGCCCCCATCCCCGCCAGGCCGGGGACTCACCAGCTCCCGGACCGGCACCTCGTTCAGGTCGCAGAGGCTCAGGTCCAGCTCGTTCCCGTCCAGCTTGTCCTTTAGGCTCAGCCCCTTCCCGCCGCCCCGCGACATGGCTCCGCCGGGCAGCCGCCAGCAGGGGATGCGGGTGGGAACGGGGAGGCGGCCCGGCGCGGTTCGGCTCGGCGCGGCTCGGCACGGCCCGTCCCGTCCCGGCGTGGCACGGCCCGGCCCCGCCAGCCACTTCCGCGGCCACGTCCGCGCGGGCCCCGCCAGCCCCCGCCGCGGGGCCGAGCGCGCCCGCTGCCGGCCCGGAGCGGGGCCGCACCGCCCGCACCGCACTGCCCGCACCGCACCGCCGGTACCGCACCGCCCGCACCGCACCGCCCGCACCGCACCGCCGGTACCGCACCGCACCGCCCGCACCGCACCGCCGGTACCCACCGCACCGCCGGTACCGCACCTCCCGCACCGCACCGCCGCTGCCGGCAGAGCGTGTGGGGCGTGGAGGTTTCCTTACAGTCACGATGTTCTTTGGTGTCTGCCCTCTGTGCACTTTCGGGCCCGATCAGCAAGAAGGGAGATTTAATCCGTGTAACAGCAGATAACAGGCTCTGAGGGATGCCCAGGCGTTGGGAAGACGAGCTACTCGTCGGTGGCATTGCCCTGTTAAGGTTTGGGGCTTGGCGTGTTTCAGCGATCTCGGACCTAGGGGGAGGTCGACAAAGCTTGGGAAGAAGGATGTGCCGCTGATAGTGGGCACAAGGAATGCAGAATTTGTGGGCCACAAGGACATTTGGCAGAAACCCCAAGATAAAGAAGAAACTAATTAAGCCAAATCAGCAACTGCGCTGAATCAGCTCTGACTGTGTAAAGGGTAATTCTGGTGGGGGGAGATTGCGACCACCAACTCACAGCCACAGATTCAAGAAACCCCCTACCCCAAAGGACAAGAAAGACTGAGCATGCAGACTAATCAGCATGGGAAGTGAGAGAATCATTAACCAACACAAGACAGAATACAAGAACTAGGTAACTTGCAGCCAATAAACATTAATGCCTTTGTTTGCTAAAACATGTAAATAGTGAAAGCTTTTGACAGTTGTGTTGGGGCACCCCACCCATCATCCCACTGGCCCTGGGACCCTGGCCAGGCAGGCAGGAGTTTGCATCTGGACACGTGAAATGACCCTGTGAAGGAAAGGAGAACTCCCAGCCCAACCCCATGGGTGGGAGAGATTCACATCCAGTCACATCACTGCATCACACACCACCCCATGGAAAACCAACCAGTAAACAGCCAATATTCTCAGTAACAACACAAAAACCCAGTGATCGATACCTCGTTCTACAACAGCTGATACAGCTGCTTCAGTCTCTCCACAGTCTCCACAGTCTAAGGGGTGAATTCCCTCTCGTCTGGACTGTTACCCCATGATGTCTCTTCAGAGAGGGAACGCTCTCCCTTGCCACAGGAGCAGAGCACTCTCCTGATGTGCTGTGGAGAAAGTCAGTGAAAGAGAAAGGAGCCTGCAGCAGAGCCAAATTAGTGTTACCAGGTAATGGGATTACAGTGAGGACTAACCTTGAATTCCCTGATCCCTGTGTGATTCATGGTGTACAGGACCTTGCAAAGATGTTTTCACTACTGAAGCACATCTACCCCATGGATGCATTAGCTAGTTTTTAAGCTGGCAGTAAGTCTCTTCCAACACCCAGAAACCAGCATTAGCTCAGCACAGAGGGAACAGTGACCACAGGAGTCTCTGAGCAAAGGCACCCCAAACCATCACACAAGGATTCACCTCATAGAAAGTACAATAAAATCTGCCTGAGTTTAAGGCACTCTCATGCAGGAGATTATAGAAGTTTCTTGAAGCATGGTATTGTTCCTCCAAAGGTGACCAGAAACTAAAGAGCCCTCATCTGAGAAGGACAAGATCTAGTCATCCAAGAGCCTCTCCCATCCCTCAGCTTTTCACAACAATATTTGGAGACCAAGGAAGGGCCAGAGAAGACCTGCCCCAAGGAATAGTGGAGGAGCCTCTCATTGCCAGATCTCTGAGGAAGGCAAGTGCTTGCCGAGCCCTGCATTACCCTGAGGTAAAAAAGGACTCACATGAAGTGTTGTGCAGTTCCCCTTTGTGGCTGGCACATACAGTTCTGCTCCAGATGGGCTTTGGGGGGACCTGAGCAAGACCCTCTGCATCTCTGGGAAAAGTCCTTGTCTGTGCAGTGCTGCAGGGAGTGAAATCTGAGTTTGCAAAATCCAAAAACAAATCCAAGAGCTTTTGGCTCTTAGAAAAAATGAACAGGGGTGTAGATGGGTTACAAAACCTACCTGCTTATTTGTGGGTAACTTGAAGGCAGATTTTTAAATCTCCATTAGAAAGGAATGACACCTTATGCAATGGTGTATGAAGCGGTACTGCTTCAGGCGACCTTTGCTTTGACAATCTTTAACAAACATAGCCAAATGTCAAGGTCACCTTAACTTCTGCATAATTCTTCATTTAATTCTTTCTTTAACCAGGATTCACCCCGTGGGCTAATGATTGTTACATGGGAAGATCAAGCCAAAAGTCAGCTTTATCTTTATTTATTAAAGGAGAGGTGTTTGCGATTCCCCCCCCCCCCCAGTGGTTATACAACACTGAGCCTTCAGATGCTCCATCAGCACAGACAAAGATAATTGCTCTGTCCTGTCCTGAAACAGTGAAAGGACAACTTCTGGCCATGAATGTCACACAGCCTTACATCACCTGTGGGAATCCAGAAACTCACCTTGCTGCTGCTTGCAGTGGACTGACTTGGAGAGGTACCTGTGCATGTACACTAGAAAGATTTCAAAGGTCCACAAGACAAACCATAACACGGGGCACATCTGTGCTCTCTGCTAGAGGAAGGCTGCAAGAACATCAGCAAGGGGAAGGGAGCAGGAACTGCTGAGGGCAGCAGGATGAACACTGTCAATCTAATCCTGATCTAGCAATCCCTACTGTGACCCTGTGGGCCTAAGCTGGCCATACCATCCTGGGGATGGAGAACATTCCCAGACCCTTTGTGGATCTCTGTGTCCCCTCTGCAGCCATGGCAAATTTTTCACATTTCAAGGACAAAAATCTCCCTTTCCCTACCAAAGAAAATGTTATCATGCTGCCACTGAACAAACTCATTTGCAATGAGATGTGCATTGCAGAAAATCCTTCCTGTTTCTAAAACCAAGTTTTAGACACCAGAGGTCTGGTGGCAGTTGGTATTTCACTCTGTTACGAGCACATTTATGGCTTTGGTGTCTGAGATTCACCATTCTGAGGCCAATATTGATGCTCTTGTTCATCAGCACCCTTGTGCTCGTCATGGTACAGACACTGTGTCCAGGTACACTAATTGCAGCTTCCACCCAGGCAGAGCTGCAAAACGCCTACAGAAGCAGCCCACGTCTCAGGCCAGCACTGGCAGCACTGTTTGGTTAATGCCTGTGTGGTATTCAAAAGACACAGAGCATTTTTGGGCTCAAATTTGTACTCCAGCTTAATTAGCTTTTGGCCATTGCTGCAGGCCGCGGCCAGACAGGCTGTCAGTCGTTTCAAGCGGGGAAGGATGATGTGTCACCTGTTCATCATCAGTGCTGCTGCAGAACTCAGCTGCACCGCGCTCCTCACCTGGTGCCTGCCCACACCTCTGCTCTCGGTGAGGGGGCCTCATCCCTGGAGCAGCTCTGCAGTTCCCGGCTGGCGTCTCCTCCTCCCACAGGAGGAGCCAGGGAGTGCCTAAAGCTGTTAGTGGGGTGTGGTAACTGATAACTCACTGAGTGGATAGTGCTGGAGGTCAGTTGGTGTCTCCAGGGCACAGGCACCAAGTGATATGGGTGGAGAAAAGTGATGTTGGTTGCCTCGCACCAAAGTTCACCCCCACTCGTCTGGGTGGAGGGGCTCATTTGGGGTGGTTGGGGTCAGGCAGAAACAGACTGATGGGGCAGGCGGGGAAGAAGAACGGAGTGGGAACGCACAGGGAAGGAGGTGCAGGGCTTGGGCAGTGGACTGGCCGAGGACGGGGCAGATGCCCGGCGGGACCCTGCGCTGCCAGCCGTGTGCTCCCTCTGAGCCCCCATCCCCGCACTCGGGTGGGCGCTTTTCCTGCTCCCCGTCCCACCCGGCGCTTCCTCGCGGCCGGCGGAGGGTCCCGGGGCCCCGCAGCCTCCGAAGATGGGGCGGAGCGGGGCCGGGGCGGGCTGGGCACCGCCCCTGCGCTCCGAGCGGCGGGACCGGACGGGACGGGCCGGGTCCCATCGGGTGTCCGCGTCCTGTTGCCACTGGAGGAATGGCCACGGCCCGGCTGGCAGCGCTGCCCCGGCACGGGCTGCGGGTCCTGCGCCGCGCGGGCGGCAGGCGGGGAGCCCCGCCGGGAAGGTAGAGATGGGCTGGGGACCGGCAGGGAGTGTGGGGGAACGGGGAGTTCATTCTTGGAACCGAGGGCGCGGGATGTAGGGGATGGGTGGCTAATGGGGAACAGGGGGCTGTGGGTGAGAAGGAATGGGGCTCTTAGAGGTTGGAGGGCTGTGGGGTCTGGCGATGGGGCACTGTAGGGCACAGAGGCTGCAGACCATGTGTGATGGGGACAGGGGCTATAGGGCAGCTGTGGGTGTCCAGCCAGGCGAGTGGCTGCATGCGGGGAGGGCAGGTTCGTCTCGGTGTGTGTCATTGTGCCTCGGCTCCCCTAAAGTCCCTCCAAAATGGGAGGCAGAAGGCTGCACCCCCTGGGTCTGCCCACCCAGCTTGGGAGGGGAACGGGGGAAGGGAGGAGCCCTGCACAGTTTACGGAGCAATGTTCAGGCCAGGGCTGAACTTTCTTTATGCAGCAGCTCCGTCCTGATTTCAGTAATATCAAACATATCAAATGGCTTCTTCACTCTCCTTGGGCGCTCTGACTTGCAGGCAGTGTTCCTGTCCCCCTGAGGTCCTGCAGACCCCCGGGTGGGCAGGGTGGTCAGGGACACAGCAGGTCCAGGGCACTAAGGACCTCTGGATGGTTCAGGTCAGTTCTTTATTTTGCTTTCCTTCAGTGCCGCCTCTTGGAGCAAGTTTGTGTGAAAGAACAGCAGTGGGAAGGCAACTGGCTTTGGGAAAGGCTCTGAAGGATTAGCTGATATTCAGAGTCTAATACTCACTGGGAGGAATGACTTTCAAGAACCACGGGGGTTCCTTGTTTTTCCACAGGCAGGGCTCAGGTGTTTCTTTTCAGCTGGTTTGACATTAGGA